GGGACTTAGTGCTGGGAAACCTGGCAACCAGATGGCTGAGAAAGCTCCTCTCTTCACGAAGACTCTTCTGCCCTATCGCTGCTACCCTTTGTTCATTGTACCCCGCATTTTTAAATTCACAGGGAGCCTCTGTGCCAAGTCTATACAAGTAAGCCCAGGTCAAGGCCAACTCCAAGGAGCTCTTCCTGCTTCTTGATGTGAATCATGTTGACATGTCACTTCTAGGAGTTCCCAGAGAATGTTGTAAGAATGTATTACTGCTATTTTTGACTGTAAGAAGTACTTTGGACTAAATAATGAATTCAGCCAATCATAGTGGCTCACACCTGTCATTCACAAGGTGGAGAAAAAAAGGCCAGTAGTGTGTGTGTGTGTGTGTGTGTGTGTGTGTGTGTGTGTCTGTTGCATATCTGGGTGCCAATGGGTCATGCCTGTAATCCTTGCTACTCAGGAGGCTGAGATCTGAGGATTATGGTTGAAACCAGCCCAGGCAGGAAAGTCAGTGAGACTCTTATCTCCAATTAACTACCAAAACAAAAACAAAAACGTAAATAGAGCCATGGCTCTACTGGTGAGCAAAGAAAATTACAGGACAGTGCCCTGGTCCTAAGTTCAAGCCTTGGCACCAAAACAAAACAAAAAAGAACAAAGACTGAGTAAAGTTTCAGTGTCATTCTGAATTTCAGTGACACTTCTTATTAGTACTAAAAAAAAGCCAATTCAATCAAATAGTATTTTTTGACCCCCAAATTAAAAAAAGAGTTGCTTTCTAGAAATTTTAAGTTCTAAAAATGAGCTATCAGCAAATAGTTACCAAGAAGGAAAGAGGGTATTTAAGAAAGGTCATTTGTTTAACCCATTACTAATGTTTTAAATCCCTTGATTCTGAACATTTGTGATGATGATGAGCATGAAGACTGGAAGATAAGAATGGAAGAGCATGTGGGCGCATGCATGCTGTATTCTAAAACAACTGCAAGAGGATGGATTACTTAGTGCTTAATGTAACTGTATCTGTAATCTCTGACTTCCCTGTCCACAATCAGTGCTTTCGCTTAACGTACATGTAACCATAGCCCGTTTTTTTTCCAATCTAGTTATTTTCTACTGGTTCTATTTTTGCCTATATTTTAACGATCTAGTCTTTGCTTAAAAAGCTGCTTACCAATTTACAGATGTTCTTTCCACTGTAATTGACCCCACGAATATGCCAGAAACTCATTTGTTTGTTTAACATATACATTTACCAGGTACCAAATATGCACTTTTCTCAGCACTGTGGATGTTGCAATTATTAAAATGCCAAATCCCTTTTCCTAGTGGAGCTAGCATTCCAGATGACAACAGGATGAATGTTCATCTGGGTTAAGAGGGAAGCTGCAAATTTTAATCATTTGACCTCTTGATATTATGAGACCTATGGAAACAATGTAATGAGTTCAAGAGCTAATGAAATGAATTCAAAATGAAATGAATTCAAATGAAATGACTTCAAGAGCAAATTTTCAAGAAGGTAAAAGACAGAGGATGGAAGTAGACAGACTTATGTGACTATACACAGGCTATATACCACTTTTTCTCATTTTTTTCCTGAAAAAGGAATAATGGTAATAATAAAAAATAGTACAAGGAAAAGTAAGTTGATTCATAAACTGCTTAGAATGATGCTGGTCATAATATTTATTAAATAACTAATAACATCTTTGAAGCCTATGTACAAATATGAACCCTTGCTTTGGCTGTCATTACAGTCTTTGGAAGTACAGCAACAGGTAGAGTATGTGGAGAACTCTGGGGTCTGAGAGCCACAGTGTGAATCTCAGGTCTGCTGAGTTTTCATGCACAGTCCTGTGTAAGTTTCTAACTTTTTCCCTGAGGTCTTTCTTAGCTACGCCTCTGTAAAACATCTATTTAGTGAGGTTGTTAAAGAATGAATGATATAAGCAGAAAACCTCCTTGGTACACAGGCAGTTCATAGGAGGAAAAAAATCACAACATGTCTTGATTTTGTATTGTATATACATTTATCTGAATTAGGGAAAGGAGGGGGGAACAACAGAATGGTGAGAGAAAGGAAAAGTGGGGAACCAATGCAACAGCGGTACAAGACAATATGTTGGAAATGATCTATACAACTTGCGTGTGGGGGCATTGGACGGGGAGGGAAAGAGGGAGGAAAGTGAGGGAAGGATAACAAGTTTGACAAGAGATGTACTTATGATCTTACTTATGTAACTGTAACCCCTTTGTATTCCATCTTGACAAAAAAATAAATAAAAAAGGTAGGATAACAGCTCAGAAGTCTATCATTTGAAAAAAAAACATCAAACATTTGAGCTCTTAAACATATACTTTATAGTCTTATTTTTACCCATGTTCAAAAGCAGCCCTTAACAAGGATGGTCAGTAGGTAGTCGCGTTGAACAGGTAACCAACTATTGAATGCAACTGGAAGGATGCAATTGCATTTCTGAAAAACTCTGAAATACTTTGGAGCATTCTTCCACTGAGATAAGCATTTCCTTAATCTTCTCTTTTCTCAATACGGATTTAATTAGAGTTGCTACCGTGAGTGGTTGCTATAGATGCTAAGTAGGAGTGTGGGGAAGACTTTTAGCTAGGGAAGCAAAGTAAGTGAGGAGAGCTTTTCTCTTCCTTCCTCTCTTTGGCTGAATGGGGCAATTCTACAGGCTTATGGTTGTACAAGGCTGTACAAGGTTAATGGTTGACCCATGACTATTTCAGAGCAGAAGAGCAGAACTCCAAAGGTAAGGGACCAGGTGAATCTATACTCCCAGGTGGACTTCTTGTTTGTAAACAAGGACAATAACAATATATTTTCACAGCGGCAATATCGTGAGGTATAAAATGCCCCAAACAGATTGTGAGTTTCACATGTAGAAGATTGATGCTATTGTAATGGGATGTCAAAGATGAGAAGGCAGTCTCTTTCTAGTTATTTTTAAAGTGCATTAGCAATCATTGTAAGATTACTTTCTTTCCCTTTTTCATGCTCTGAGTGTTTGGTCCTGATTGTAAATGATACTGCCTGACAAACACAAAAACAACCCAGGCAAATTTGTCTATAATACTGCATGCAAACAGGACTCAAATGAGGAAACTAGGACTAGAAAGGTTCATCACTTGTCTCCTGCTCTGTTGTTTTCAGAAGGAACTAACTAACCTTTGGCCTCCTTCCAAAGTTAGGAGCCCTATCTTTGTCAGAAGACCCAGAGCTGGCTGTAAGTACAGAGCCATTAGGGACCATGACTACAAGGACCTCAAGAGGAGGCAGATCCACCAGAAACAAAAAATAACACAGAGTTAAATTGTAGCTACCACTATGATAACAGATGAGCAATGAAGACCTATAAAATTCCAGAGATCCATCAAAAATTATTTTCTGGCAATTTCCTAAGAAAGTAATTTTATAACCTTTGCTTAGTTGTATCATTAGCAACTTTCAGAGTTATGAACTGCCTACTTTTATTTGATAACAAGTATGCTTTTTTTACTCTCATGTTATTTTACAAGAGTGATAAAGGAATATGGTCTTGTCTTTGTGAGAGCCCTTCACATATTGGCAAGCACTTCCAAACAAGATTAGTGCCCATGCTTAAAACATAATGCATAGCATTAATGTAGCCTCAGGTTTCTTGCTTTTCAATTCACATGAAAATATTGCTGAACTTTCACAGAGATAAATGGCTTGCATTTTCTCTACAGAACATCAGTAATAGTTCTGAAAGAGTCCAAGCATTTTCAGTATCCTAGTGGAAATGATCTAACAGGTATCCTGAAAAGGAAAGGCTTTCTACTACTAGCAAAATAGCGTATAAGCAATAAAAACAAATTCAACACAAACAAAAGGCAATTTAGAGAATGACAGAAGTTGTATGCAAACCATCCATCTCACAAAGGGTTAATAGCTGAACAATATAATGAACTCCTGAAATTCAATGGAAAAACAACTGATGTAAATGTGTAAAAGAACTGAATTAGATATTTCTTAAACAATGGCCAGCAGTTTCCTAGCATATATAAAGAATGCTTGGCATCAATGATCTTCAAGAAAATGCAAATCAAAAGCAAAATGAAGGATTACCTCACACTGGTCAGGATGCATAGTCCTAAAAACAACTCTCTAGAAACATACCAACTGTTCAGCAAAAAGGTGAAGAACAGAGAACCTTTATTACTTTTGGTGGGAATGTAAATTGGAAAAACACTGTGGAAAACAGTACGGGGATTCTTGAAAAAGCCCACCAACAAAAGGATTTGGCAATCTCAATTCTGCCATACAACCGAAGGCAATCAGAATCTCTGAAATATTCATGCTTTTCCACATTCATTGTAGCATTATTTATAATAACAAAGATATAAAAAACAACTCAAATGCCCATGGATGGACGAACAGATAAGGAAACTTGGATATGCAAACAATGGAATATTGTTTTGCCTTAGAAAAAGAAGCAAATTCTGCCACTTGTGACATGAATAAATGCAGAAGACATCACTCTATGCAAAATAAATCAGATACAATAGTACAGATACCTCATGACACCATTTACAAGAACAATCTAATTCTGTCAAACTTCAGATAAGTAGAGTAATTGCTAGGTAAGGAGGAAACAGGCAGATACTAATCATAAACGAAGTCTCAGGAGTCCCATAGATCTCCAGTGTAGCAGTCCATCCACTGTATGCTTAACACTTGCTAGAAAATATCTTACATTGTTTTATTTTCAGCACATAATGATAATAACTATCAGTAGCAATAATAAAGAAAGGAAGTAGGGGAAGCTTTGGAACTGATAGGCTAACTTCATAAATTCTACTGCTGATTTCATGGCTACACATTTATTTCTAAACATATCAAGTTATATACGTTAAATCCATGCAGACTTTTGTATGTCAATTATATCTCAATAAAATGGCTTTTAAAAAGTCACAGCACCACATTGGAAACCATGGTACATGCATGCAGAAATGTTAATTACCTGATTCCTTGTCTGCTGGGCCTAAAACATAAGAAAAGAGAATTTAGGAGAAAAACAATGTCTACCATGCTGTTCATGCACTGAAGATGGCCAGACTGGCAAAGAAAATTAGGTCACCCCTCTACTTCTAATTTAAAATTTGAGTGTGTCATGGTCTAATCCTGAATACAAAATGAAAGCACTTCTAAAATCGAAGAGAAAGGTAATATATGGTGAACATGAATAGAAGTTTTTCCTCAGTTATCTGCTATTATTTGGTAATTTTTGTTGTTGCTGTTGGTCATGGGGACTGAACTCTGGGCCTGGGCGCTGTCCCTGAGCTCTTCAGCTCAAGGCAAGGGCTCTACCACTTGAGCCACAGCACTACTTCGGGCCTTTTCTGCTTATGTGGTGCTGAGGAATCAAACCCAGGTCCTCATTCATGCAAGTCAAGCCCTCGACCACTGAGCCACCTCCCCAGCCCTTATTTTGTAATTGTGAAATGAGATGGCTGGAAACTTCTTCTTGAGTCAATTGCTAGGATCCATTTTTGGGAATACTGGCACAGTAGACTAGAAATCAAAGAGTAGATGGATCCCCTGGCCCCTCTCCTACTATAGACGTTTTCCTAGAGCAGGCTTAGTTTGATATTTCCAAATAAAAGAAATTTCCCTATTTGTTTAAAAATGGACTCCATGTTTTTTATAAAGAGATACACAGGGAAATATACTGCCTACCTTTTAAGTATTCTTGTACATAATAATAAAAAATAGCTAAGTCAGTTAAGAATAAGAGGATTCTTGCTGTGTTTTTGAACAGAGTATATAACATCTGTACAAAAGCATATTAAACTTTTTCCTCTGTAAAAGGCTTTAACATGCCCATCTTTTCCATCTGTGTTCAGAACTGTCAGTACTCCCAAAACATGAAAATAATTTGAATGAGTATTCAAAACTAGAAACCAAAGCGTTTATCTTCTACTTTCCTCAAATGATCTAATGTTCATTGCTTTCACTTTAACACAACGTGATATCATAATTAATGATGTTAAACTGGTAACTAAGGAGGCTTCATGTTGTTATTCTCGTGATATAATATTGGTTGCTATAGTGATGAGATGGCTTTTTTGTTAATCACTCAGGAGGATGGTTATCACATGCTTGTTAGAGTGCTTGACCAGATCTGGAGAGGTAAAAAAAGGGAATGATAACCCAAACAATTATAATCAGGGGTTTTCACTGGGTAATTTTTTTTTTTTTATAAAAAATGAACCTAATATCAACTACTTCATAAATTTATAATTCATTAAACACATTTTGCATTAGTTACTAACAATTTTCTAAAAGACAACTTGATTTTTATTTTCAGATCTAAGCATTTAACTTTAACTGCAAACTTTTTCCTTCCCTCCTTCCCCCCAGTAATGCTGCTTGCATTGTATAAGCCAGTTTTGTGGTAATTTGAGTCAAGAATTTGAAGGCTTTTCTATTAACTTAAAAAAGCAACCCAAAGACTGATACATAAAAGCTGAGTTTGCAGGTTTGCCTTAAATTCCAGTCTACTTATCTCAACACATTTTAAATATCAGTATCCTTAATGAATAAAACGCGAAGAAAGAGAAAAAAGTGCACAGTCCTCTCAAGAGATCTAATCTTTCAAATGCATCAATATACTACAAGCAATTAAAAGCTGCAGGAAGTTCTGTGGGTTTACGTGAGCCCTTTCAATAATCAACAAGTTTCTTCCTTCTCTGAGTGGAAGTACAGAGCAGAAAGTAAAATTACATAATGCTATCCTGATACTGATCAGGAAAGGAACCACAGCCCATAGTTTAAATGTTAGAAATACTTACAGTAATGTCAAAAAATACAACCCATGAAAACACCTTTTGGTTTCTTGAAAACTCAAAATAAGAACAAAGGACAACTTAAGCACGAATCCTGGGTCTTTCATTCAAGCAGAGTCCCAGGAGGCATATTAAAGCAATGAATAGGAAAAAGCTCTTCAGTTCACCAGCTGAGATTTTAATGAGACATTTCCCTTTGCCATGGAACAGGATTGTTCAGGAAAGGAGAGGCCTTCTTATAGAAAATTCAGTTAATAGGCATTGTTGGCGCTCACGGCCACTTCGGCAATTGCTCACTGCACTGACCTTCTATTTTGGCATATTCTGTGAGTCTAGTGTAATTGATCAAGGCAGCTTTCTCGAGACATTTTCTGACCACTTTTTTCACCTCTTCTGCTGGTATGGGAGTGGCAATATCTTTCATTAAAACCTACGGAGAGAGAGGTGAGGGGTGGGGAAACACAGACACACACACAGAAAAGACAGATGTTGCATAAATATTAAAAATAAAAACAAAATCCCCATCAATTGGACTAGACCTGATTATTCCTAAGAATAGGGGAGGGGTCTGCAGTAACTTGGGGAAAAGTAATGAGTTGGTGCTTCACAACTGGGAACCTAATCCTGCAATCTTGGCTCCTCCTGTCTAAGCCTCATTTGTACACATCAAAATCTCTTATAGGCCAGGCTACCATTCAGTGTGACTGTCACTTTTCCTCCAGGGACTCAGGACACCATTAGAGCAGCTGTTTTAGATCTAGCTTACAATTCTTGGGACAAGAAATAAAGTTTATCTTACACATCCTTCATTTAAAAGCCCTAGTTATTTTGAGTAATATATTAGAAACATTTTACATTTTTTTATTAAGAACTGGCATAATTTTTTAGCTCTCTAAAAAATCAAAAGCACTAATCTGTTTAAACTTCAGTGATCACAATTTTCTGAAAAGAGAAGAAGCAAACTTTTTGTTTTAGTAAACTAAATGTCTATAGATTATAAGATGTTAAAATAAATGGTAACTTTCTATAATTTTGAAGAAAATAGCAGAATATTCTTTGTCAGTTTCTTAAAATTTGCTCTTAGAATTTATTTTTCCTTAGCAAATTTTCTTATTGGCAAGGAACAAATAAAATGGTATCTAACAGCTAAAATTTAATATAATGCTTTATAATGATTCCTCAACAATTACCATTCAAACTTTCTTAGTGATAAAACTGCTAACAATACTATTAGCCAAACTATTTTTTTGAATTATTTAATGCCATTTTTCATATATTGTTTACATTCAAAGGGTAAAAATGCATGGGAAAATGTTAATATGAGCAAGACAATGCTTTGTTAAGAACTGTGAGTATTCTACTCCTTTTTTATATTGAAAGAATATGGTATGTTTCAGTCTGGTTTTTTTCTTGAAAAATTCTACAACCTCTAGCTCTTTCAGTCTTCCCAGGATTGGTGACCCTTGATAATCCTAAAAAAATTATTTAGGTAAGATTCATTCTTGAGAACAGCAAAGTTCTATCATTTAAAAATGTTCATCCCCTGGAAATTTCAATTATCTCTTACATTATTCTCATATAAATTTGGTGCTTTAACTGCACCTGAGATGCCCCAATAGTCTAGAAAATTCTTTTGAGCACAGTAAACTATGTACAGGCATTAAACATATACTATTATGTTAAATATGATTTTGACTAAACTTTAACATGAAAATTCCCCTTGTTCCATAAGTTATGAGCTTGGCAATGAGTCTTCCTGTGTGACAAACTTGAAGTAGAAGAAATAGCAACTAGAAGTTAGACTGCATATGTCTACCTCAGAGGGGAAGTCTAAGTTTTAAATTCAGTAATATCTTGTATTATCTCAGAGCCTGGAACCTTAATTTGGAATGAAAAATACTGAATCCTCTTTCCTGACAAAGTGAAAGGGCTGGCACATGCAAAAACGGTCAGCAACCTCTGTCTCCTACTTCTGTGTTCTTCCAAGTATTATAGGTATTAAAAATTCACATACAGATTTCATTGTATTTTTCTAAGTTGTCATTAAGAAACAATTTTTTTAAAAGAAAAAATGGCCTTTAACATCTCTCTCTCAATTCAGAAGGAGATGTGATTAGTGGTTATAACTGGAATACAGGTCACTGTCATCTTGCTACCTGTCACTGCAGGGCACAAGGGCATCTCCACTGTCACTAATTCTTCCCTGCTGGGAGGAGGAGGGAGGCTCTGCCATGGAAACCAGGATTCAGCCGGGCTGCCCTCAGCACCCATGACAGGATGCAATTCTAAAAAGTAATGCAATCTTTATGGGTTTTATTTTGTTCACTATACCTTAAAGAACAAGATGAAATGGAAAAAACTGGGTAACATGTTCCTTTTAATAGAACAAATATTCAAATAAAACAAAGATGGATTTATCTACAGACTGACTGATTTAGATCTATCTATCTGTCTGTCTGTCTGTCCGTCTACATATCTACCTACCTATCTAATCTCCCAATCTGAAAGTAATTGAAATGGAGTTGTACTATCTGCATAACATCTTTCTTTTCTGCTTTTCATAGTGACTCTAGCAAATAGTGTAAACTCAAAAGTTAATATGGCCGAAAAATAGACAAAAATGAGTCAATAAATCAGGACAAGGGTAATAAAGTCATGTGTTATATATGATGTCTGGTAATTCCTTTTAATTCTGATATTGAAAGCAGTAGAAAACACCTCATTTTACTATTAGCATATAACCAGCATATGAATAGATTGCTAGAAGAAAAAGCCACTTCCCTTTCAAATCGCAATGGCCTCAAAAACAGATGTAAACAACTTTCATTTTACAACAATTTGTAGCATGGAATTAAGATCTCATTTGCCATCTATTTCTGTGGGAGAAATGTATATCCTCAATTCATTGTAGAACTTATTTAAAGCAACACATAAATTGGAGTAAGAGATTCTTTTTCTCTTTTGGAGTAAGAAATTCTAAAGTGAACTCTAAACAAAAGAACTATGTTTGTGCATATTAAATCATAAATTTTCAGGCATAAGGATTATGACAGGCAAATAGATACATACCATAAGTAAATAAATAATCACAAATAAAGTTGAGAGGATACTAGAAGAAAACTGTGAAGTCTGAAAAGATGTGATTATTAACTAAAAATAAAAAGACCTTATTTCATGAGAGAAAAAAAAAGATGGAAAAATGGATAGTTCCCCAATGATGCCATAGTATGAGGCCAGGATAGGGAGAAAAAGCCACAAGAGATAGAACGTGAATGTAGTAGCAAGAGAAGACTAGAGGCTGCTTAGTTCCACAAGCAACATACAGAGCAACTGAGAGTGTAAGTATTATTTGTAATGTTCAAACATACCCTTTCAAGCAAGGAAAGTGTAGCTTTTAGAGCACCTTCAGGACGTCCAAAGGGAAAACAGTATCTTTGAAAACAAAAGAAAGAAGAAAAACACCATTTAATATTCAAGAGCTCAACCATTCCACTTACCATATTGGCAGTAGTAGAGAAACATGAACAGAAATTTAAACAACATCAAATCATCCAGGAAAATTTCCTCTGCCAATATTGCCCTAGCCCTTGATTTCAAAGCCTTAAAAGTATAATGGCACTATGAGTTAAAAAAAAAAGTAGTTCTACAGTTTTAATGTTGTTTGTACCAAAAACATAATTGATAAAAAAATTTCACACTCACATGGAAAGGAATGATTAATATGCAATAATTAGTGATTTCTTACTTAAGTTTTAGCATTTCTCTTACACATGTGTGGTTGGAACTGGAAGCATTGGCTATATCCACAACTTCAGAGACCAGCAAAGTTCCAGCTCTGCCTTTGACTGACACTTGCTTAGTTACCATGATGTTGAGATTCTCCTATCTCCCCACATGACACATGGGAATCCTGCGAATTGCTTCCATCAGCAAAGGCATTTATCCCAAGTATTTCTAGGCCCATAGAGTCCCATTACATAGCAAAAAATGCAGGGCACATCACGGGGAATGCTCTGCAATGAGGGTCAGATGGGGTGTAAGTGCATTGCTCTTAAAGATGGCTGCCACAGAGCAGTAACAGGTTTCTGCTCTTGATGAGCGAGTCCTTCTTCAGGTCAGTTTCCACTTAAAGAACACTGAACACCAGAGCCCTTTTATTCTGCTGGAGACCCTCGCTTTGTTGAATCAGATTCAGCCAAACACATCTTCCAGTCCTGCAGCAATCTCCCTATGTCTATAATATGGGCTCCTGGCTGTCCTCAGGCTATATCCCCTGGCTCTACCTCAGACATCTGCAAACTAATGACTGGATAAGAAGTTTACTTATCTTGAAGGCCTTTTCATTTATGCAGGGGCTTAGTGGTCATTTTTCTCAGATATAATAAAGAAATTATTTTTTTCATACAGAAATTTGAACATGTTTCCATGAGAAACACACGTGTTCTAAGTTGTTTGTTTCACAAAACCAATTTTAAAGAAAAGAAAAAAAGATTTTGTTACTTCCTCCTCCCTTCATTTTAAAAGCAAGTATTTGTTGAGTGGTATTGACCTGAGGATTCGGTTTTATCTCCATAAAAACTGCACTAGTCACAGAAAAAGTCACAAATGAAGGCCAAGAATATTTACATACTTCCCCTCGCCGTTTTTCTTCCTTCAGAATAATATACTTGCCATTTTATTTGCTATTAAAAATGTCCCTACTGAATCTGGCCTCTGTAGCCTATTCCCCTCAACCAATTTATTTTAATAGAGTTTTCTCTTTGCTTTCTAGAGCATTAGCAAATTAGCAAAGTAGCTTTAATCATTTTGTATACTATAGGCTTAATCCACTTTTAAATAAATCACAAATTGGGTTCTTGTTGGTCCCTCCCCCTGCTTAATCTTTTCAGTGTATTTGCATAATCCATCCATTGTCTTTTGCATTGTTTATTTCCATGAACCTGTGGGTGACACATTTTCTGAATGGAATGTTACTGATCCCCAGATTACAGGGCTCTGAGGTCCCACTGGGTATGTTCAGAATTAGCATTAGCTGCCCACGATGTGTAAATAATTCAGCACATTTACAGAGGACAAGTAATCCTGAATCAATAAAGTACAGAAAATAACTACACAGAAGCTTAATTAATCTTTACAAAACAAGTTTTCCAAGAAAGAGATCATTTTGTTCTACCTTTCAGGATAAATATTTTGGGTTTGTAACCACTCTGATAGGTCTTTACCCAGCAAAACAAATTGGAAAACATTCAATTAATAAATAAGGTTTAACCACGTTTAATAGTTTAGCTGAAAAAACTGAAGTCAACAACATTCTTACTTTGGTACATTAACTTTCTAGATTATATAAACCTGTTTATATAGTCCTGTTTTATGGTGAAGTATTTCCTTTTCTGTATCTATTTTTAAATACAGCACTTATTTGTTATCAAAATTATATATGCCTAAAGAGGAAACTCTAATATGCTTTTTTTAATGAAAAACTCTAAGTCCTTCATAATGCGTCATCCTAGCCCAAGTAAATTCTACTCTTAAGATAAAACAGTCAAATTCCAGCTGACTCTTTTTACATTTAAATCTCATATTCCTAAATTGCACTCTAATATTTTCATGTCTCCATTTCCCAGTTTTATCCTACTAACTTCCCACTATGAAGAGAAACCCTTAGCATTACTTTTTCTTATTATTTTACTTTTCTTATTATTTTTTGCAGTGCTGGAGAGAGAATAGAAGGCTTCCCACACGGGAGGTAAGCGCTCTACTGGCCCTTAGCATCTTTTTTTAAAGATAGGTTTGTAGGGGTGATATACATTTAAATCATGTATTTTAGTGAAATTCTGATGTATGTTTACCCTTGTGAAGCCATTACGCAGTCTAGTTTCTAACCCCAAAGGATGTCTTCTCATGTAGACATAGGCTTTCATTTTTCCTGGTAAAATTCCTAGCCCCTATTTATCATAGATATCTAACCTTTTAAAATTTTGCTAGACAAAGTTTCCAAAGTGGATGGTATATTACATTCCTATCACAATAAGCCCTTGAACACTACAGTTCTCCACATATATTCCAACGTTTGCTATGCTCAAGTATTTTGCTGCTATTGCTTTGAATTTTTTAGTTATGTCAATAGGTACATGGTGGTACCTACACAGGTTTTGTTGTGTTTTCTTTCTTTTTTATTTTTTTAGACAGGGACTTCTTATGTAATCCAATCTGGCCTTGAGCTTTTGGTCTTGCTGCCTCTCAGCCTCTCAAGTATTTGGATTACAGGTATGTACTACCACACCTGACTCTAATCATAGATTTAAGGCATATTTCTATATTGGGTAATGATATTTCATATATCTTTTTTCATCATATGTCTTTGATGAGGTATCTATTAAAAATTTTAATTGGAGCGATTCATTTTTATATTTAGATTTTAAGAGTTTCATATTTTCTGAATACAATTCTTGTGTGAGATATGTATTGTGTGAGTATTTCTTACTTTGATTTCTTATTCCTTTAATAATGTCACTGGAAAAATCAAAGGATTTTAATTTTAATGAAGTTCAAGTTAATCATTTCCTCAATCATAAAATCATAATTTTTGTATATTATTAGAGTATGTTTGCTTAGCTGAAGGGCACCGAAAATTTCTAGGTCTACTGCTTCTAGGTAGTCTGCTCATAGGTAGCTTATAGTTCTAGCATCATTTGTTGAAAAGAAAAAGTACAATTTGCAAGTTCCCATTGTGTCGTGATTGAAAATCACTAGACTTCATATATGTGTGAGTTTACTTCCAGACTCTCATTTGAGATCCATCTATGAGTTACTATTGCTTTATACATCTTGAAGTCAGCTAACAGCAGTACTTTAATCGTGTCCTTTAGAAACATTATTTTAATTAATTTTCCATTTACCTATACAATTTAGAATCACTTTAATGTCTATAAATTCCTACTTGGATTTTTAGTGCAGCAGCACTGGATCAGTACAGTTTGAGAAGAACCGAAAATAGTACTGAGCAGATGATGTGGGACTACTGATAACTATGGAGCTGTAGCAGGGAGACATCATAATCAATTTACAGGAGAATGGAGGACTGAGCAGGATACGAAAAGACAAATAGTGATAATAAAGAACAAAATATACACCTGAAGTGGCTTATCTGATTTTCTAGAAGGGAGGAAAGTCTCTCTTTTATCTCTTCAAATCTTTCTTTTTCTTCCACAGAAACAGTTCCAATTCCATCAGGCCTGAAAAATAAAATGGGAATCGGCAGCATACATTGATAGAGTCTTTATATTGATAGATTTTACATACACACATTGCCAAATAATCAAAGAACAGCTCTAGTGTTCATATTAATGGTGTTCATGGTAAAAATTTAGTGGAGGTATTTGTAGTCAGCCACCTACTTTATGTTTTGACCTAGAATGAATGGAATAGAATTATTCTCTTTCAGACAACCTTCAAAGTAAGAGATGACAATAAATATTTTCCAGATCCACAGAAAACAATGTCTAGTCCTTGAGAATGGCAGTTAAAGTGTTTTACAGTGGTACCAAACATTTGACCAATTAAATGAATAGTGCCTGAATGGGGATATTATAAAAATACATTGAATGAAAGCTACAACATCTTAACTGCTTGTCTTCCAAATGAAAATTAACCTAACATGATATTAGAAATTTAATTTTCATTGCTGTAAGGAAATGCTGTGTATATTTGTATATTGTGTATATTTAAATATGAGGGCCAATAAAGATTAAAATGAAATTCACACAGAATATAAGGACTAGTGGGGCTGGGAAGGTGGCTCAGTGGTAGAGCGCTTGCCTTGCATGTATGAGGCCCTGGGTTCAATTCCTCAGCACCCCATAAGCAAAAAGAAAAAAAGCCGGAAGTAGCACTGTGGCTCAAGTGGTAGAGCACTAGCCTTGAGCTGAAGAGCTGAGGGACAGTGCCCAGGCCCAGAGTTCAGGCCCCACGACTGGACCCCCCCCCCCCAAAAAAAAAGACTATAAGGTCTAGTTATGATCTCTAAAAAAATTTCTAACTAAATATCCCTCTTGGAGAATATGATTTTTGATTACGATTTTAACAAGTACATATGAAAAGTGGCTCTTTTACTATGATTAGAATAAAAATATAAATATGTCTATTATAATAGCAGGGACTTTGAACATGTTATATATCAATTTAATTATCAATTTTATATATATATTAAATTTAGCAATCATCTACAAATTCGAGCACACAGATTTAGGCTGTCTGCCTTTATTAGCACAAGAAAAAAACACATTCATCTTACATTTATTTAAATACCATTTTATGTACTTCAACAACCAAATAAGTCTTTTGCAGTTGATGACTGACAACAGGTACTTTCACCCTATTGGCTAATTTGTTTAAAGATATACTGCAATTTTCAAAGATGTGTAGTTATCCCAAAGTATTGATTTTACACATAAAATAGAAAGAAAATTTTTAAAAGCAAACAAAAGATGCTTAAGATAACTTTGGGAAAAAGAGTCTTATTTGCTGCTTACTATATTATGTGTGTGTGTGAGAGACAGAAAGAGACAGAGACAGAGAGAAAGAAAAATGTATGTACCTGTGTTCATGCAAATCTGAGACTTATTAACTAGTTAATTAGGACAAAAGCAACTAGTTTTAAAGCTTTACCTAAATCATATTGACATGATGGCCTCTTGCTTTATCTGAGCATCATTTAAATATGAGAATTTAAGCAATAAAGTTCAGCAACTTGCTACTTCAGAAATGTACATGCTGTTAGTATACTTTGAAAACATTTCTTACACTCATAATTCATTTCTTTTCTTTCTTTCATTCTTTTATTTTTCCCAGCTTAAATTTGGGGCCTGGGAGCTGTCCTAGAGCCTCTCTGTGCTCATGGCTAGAGCTCTACCACTTGAGCCACAGCACTAGTTCCACTTTTTGAGTGGTTAACTGGAGGTAAGAGTCTCACGGAGACCTTCCTGCCAGGGCAGGCTTCAAACCATGATCTTCAGATCTCAGCCTACAGAGTAGCTAGGATCACAGGTGTGAGCCATTGACGGCTGGCTCATAATTCATTTCTAAACAAGAAGTACCACTTATTTAATTTCACATTCATATTAACATACCAATCATATTTATCCTATTGGAATGCACTTCACATTTTAACTATGAAAAAAAACTACTGACAAAATATTGGTCTTTTGGATACCTTCAGAAAAGAAGAAAAGGCCAATGTAGATATTATATATAGTAGTAAACTATGACCTAATCTCAATTCTGTTCATTAATTTAGTAATGGGTTTTTTCATATACCATTTCACAATCAGTTTTCATCAAATAAATTTTAACATAATATCTAGACTAACTTATAAATCAGTACTGACAACGATCATAAAATTCATATGAAAACATTAATCTGGATTAATCTGCTCACTTAGGTACTTAGAAACAATGCCTAAATTATATTATTATTATTATTATTTTATAGACAACAATAAAAGCCTATATCCTAAGTACTATAGGTTTCTTTTCTTTGAACATGCCTATGTAACTTTGATTTTAAGAATACAAAGAACAAGAAATGTATCCTATTATTCTGATGACTGAGGTGATGCTTTGGCTTAGCTGTCTGGCCTGTGCCATCTGGTTAGATTTGAGTGATGTTTTCTGTTGATATCATGCTTCACAATGGGAGACTAAGAAACCCTGGTAAATGAAACCTCACTGGTGTATGCTGCCTGCCTCACCAGATGGAACCAAGAGCAGAAAAGGTAAGTCGGGGGTAGGACTTTCGTGCCAAGTTCCACTGAGGTAAGAGCAACAGACATGGGCGGCCTATCAGCTACTGGGTTTAATACTACCCTTGGCACAGTTATGACAGGTTAAAGACAGCATTCAACCATCTACTCTTGCCTTTATTAGCATACTGTTTGTAGCAAACAGGGTTCTGAATGTTAGGTATATAAGGGAGACTTGTAACTTTAATTATTGGGAATGACTGGCAACTTTGCTTCAATCAATTCTAAAAGCACCAAGTTTCTTCTGTGCTAATTCTTGCCAGTAAGGGCAAATACGTCCTGTGTAACTAACATTTTTTTTTTCCTTGTCATAACGAACAAAAAACAGCAATGATCAGTTGCAGAACTCTAAGGATGCACATAGCACAGCGCTACCCGAATAAGAAAGAATGCTCCTAACAGTCTGGTCTCTAGAATCCAAAAGAGGAGGATGTTGAGTATCAGGTTATTTCTCCAAGGTCACACAGCTCAGATGGGAAGTGCTGAAGACTGGACTTGGACTTGAACCTGGATCTTTAACATTCCAAAGTCAGTACCCTTGGTGACCATGTATTAATCTATCTCCCCTATTTTCACAAGAAATAATGAAACTTAGCTGGGCACCAGTGGCTCACTCCTATAATCCTAGGTACTCAGCAGGCTGAGATCTGAGGATCATGGTTGGAAGCCAGCCTGGGTAGGAATGTCTATTAAACTCTTATCTTCAATAAATGACTCAGAAAAAGCTGGAGGTTGTGCTATGTCTCAAATGGTAGAGCACTAGCTTTGGGCACCAAGGGGCCTTCAGAAAGCACTCAGGCCCTGAGTTCAAGCTCCAGAACCATCAAAACCAAACCAAACCAAAACCAGAAAACCCATAGATTAAAAAGTCCTATTAGGAGCCGGGCGCTGGTGGCTCACGCCTGTAATCCTAGCTACTCAGGAGGCTGAGATCTGAGGATCATGGTTCAAAGCCAGCCCAGGCAGGAAAGTCCATGAGACTTGTCTCTCCAATAAACCACTAGAAAACCGCAAGCAGCACTGTGGCTCAAGTAGTAGAGCGCTTACCTTGAGCTGAAGAGCGCAGGGACAGTGCCCAAGCCCAGAGTTCAAGCCCCACAACCGACCAAAACAAAAAGTCCTATTAGGGGTTGGGAAGGTGGCTCAGTGGTAGAATGCTTGCCTCGCATGCATGAGGCTCTGGGTTCAATTCTTCAGTATCACATAAGCAGAAAAAGCGAGAAGTGGCACTGTAGCTCAAGTGGTAGAGTGCTAGCCTTGAGCTGAAGAGCTCAGGGGCAGCACCCAGACCTAGAGTTCAAACCCCATGACTGACCAAAATACAAACAAACAAACAACTCCTACTAAACCACAAAAGCTGTGTCTGAGAAGCAACAATGCTCAAAGGATTGCAAGCATCATTGATTATAGATATTAACTACATTACTTATTTAAAGTGGAAGCTTAAAAGTCAGTAACATTTAAAGCGTGCTTCTCAAAGACTTAGTAATTCAGTTGAAGATGCTCTCTGTAGATTTCCCCATATGTTACAAGATATGCAATTTTAGAAGTCTTGAAAGAAACCTAATATAGTGATTTTCAGAAGACTTAGAGTAGCAAAGACTTTAAAATTATATTTTACATAAACTCAGCTTAAATTAATTTCTATTGGCTCTGTCTTGTTCCAGAACAGATAACAGATACAGAACCCAACCATCTTCCCTCCTACCCCTTCCAGCATGACTCCACAGAACCCAGCCATCCTATCCTGGGTACCACTGCAGCTTTCTCCATCTTCTCTAGGCCTTTCTTTGTCAAGTACTAGGAGCACACTATATAGGACATCTTTAAGCACATGCGTCTGTCTTATTGCAAATCTCCTGGACTCAAGGCCCTGTAACGATGACACAGTATGAAAGCTGAAGACTTTATAATCATCTACCTAGACCTTACGTGGTGATCTCTACTTCCTCCCTGACCATCTGCCCTCACCTATCCCTTCATCCTCTCCAACCTCTTCCCTACTACCCAGAAAGAATGTGCAGCCTCAGGATCCTTCCAAGTGCTGTTTCCTTTACCTGGGAGCATCTTCCCTAAATGTGTACTTGCGTGTGCGTGCGCGCACGCGTGCACACACACACACACACACACACACACACACACACACACACACACACACACACACACCCCACTGATATTGATCAAAAAAAGACTATGTTAAAAAGTGGTTATTTAGATTCTAACACAAACAATTTCTGATTTATGTGTTAACTGGAGTTTAACCCTATGGCTGATAATTAAATATTCAGATAGAACTAATGACTAAGATTTGATATTTTCATTTTATCTTGGGATCTGCAGCTATTAAAGTTACAAGATTTCAAATAAAAGGGAAGTCCTCTATGAAAGAAGTTTAAGAAATGAACACATTATAAAACATGATTAAAAGTAGATAT